AGTGCAACACTTCCCACTAGGACTACACCAATTCCTTCAATTCCTTCTAATATTATTACTTGTGAACATGCCTTAGAACTTTCATCATGGATTGATAGAAAAGAAAATACATATATTGAAAATAATCCATATGAATTTAAATTACTTTTTAGAGGATGTAGAGATGGGTTTTGTGTTAAAACTATTTGTAATATTTGTAATAAAGTATCTAATACAATTATTGTTGCAAAAGTGAAAGGTACTGGGGAAATTATTGGTGGTTATAATCCTCTTGAGATATGTAATAATAAACAAAGATGGTATTTTAGTCAAGATAGTTTTGCATTTTCATTGAAAACTAAAAATATAAAAAATTATATTGTGAGTAGGGGGACAGGCTTTGATTCTGCTATTTGTAATTACCCTTTCACTTCATGTTTTCAATTTGGCAATGCATTAATTTACGTGGTGATTTAAAAACCGAGAAGAAAAGCTTTTGCGGCACGAATGCTTTTGAAAAATCAATTCGATCTGATTCAAGTTGTTTCTCAGTTGAAGAATTTGAGGTTTTCAAAGTTTTACCAAAGAAATAATTCAAGCATTATAGTTCATACTTTCTGAATTTAGCATTATTTATTTATTCTGTTGATATTTAATTATTATTTTAAGAAAATAAATAAAAAGATATGATTTAAAATATTCATTATTTGGTATCGTGTAAATTAATTAAAGATATATAATCAAAATTAAATAAATCATCAAAATATCTAAAATACATGGATCTTGAATCAAAATATATGACCTTTATTCTTCTTCGAATAATTTATTTTTTTTTATATTTATAAAATCACTTGTCGTTGATTACTTTTGAATAAATAAGCAATATAAATTTTTTTTATGGGAGCATAATAAACAACCACCATATTTATGGTTTTCAATTAATCAACTAATTTTAAAAGATATTTAGAAGTTTCTTTCAAACCGAATTTTCTTTAAAAAATGATCAGAAAATTTCAAATTCGTAAAAGATAAAACCAATAAATTATTAAGACTCCATTTTTTTCATGGATTTAAACCTGTGAACTTCGACCACAAGATTAATTTCCTATATAATAGTTACGATCGAATTATTATTGTTGGATTTATCAGCAATAACGACCAGTACATATTTACTGTAACGTGGCGTAATCAACACAATGGATTCATTGCAAAACTTCTGGGTTAACATGACATGAGATTAGTTAGTATTTTATATTGCTTTATATAATTTTTCAGCACTACAAAAATAAAAAATATATTTACTGTCGATTTGCATTCAATGGTACAAAATTTTAAGATAATACCATCACTGGATTGTTCGTAACGAAAAGAAATTGAAGAATTAAAATGCATTTAATTGGATAATGTCCATAACTAACGTGACAATATATTATCTAATTAGATTTTTCATTTGTTCATTTGTCAATTTTTGAAATTTTGAAGCATTTATTGTAATTTTTGAATATTTTTATTCACTGAATAATATTAATAAAAATAAATAATAAAAAAGACAACAAAATTTTATGACCGTTTATCAAATGACCTTGCTCAACTTTTTGAAAATCCTATTGATTATAATGTTACAATTGAAGTTGGTGAAGAACCAGTTCACCAAATTTTTGAAGTTCACTCTTACATATTACAATCTCGTTGTCTTATTTTAAAAAAATATTCAACGAAACTCGTTCAACGAGAATAATGTTAAAGTATTAAAGATGTTTTAATATATCTGTTTAATTATTTAATGTCATTATCAAGTAAACATTATTATAAAAATTTAGATAAAAAAGTTTTAATAACTTTTTAATAATAATAATAATTATAATAATATGATTTTATAAATTAGATACACTAGTGGTGGAACAATTTTGTTAGAAAAAATTAGAAGTTCAATTATTTTCACCTCTTGATTCTTGATGATGCATTAATTTCTATTATTAAACTAAATGACAATTAGATGAAGATAAAATTTGTGATTGCGAAATTCAATGGGGAGGTCCAAAAATCTTGATGAATGGATGAATGATAATTTCATAACTTTAAAAAAACAACTTTGAAAAACTGTCTTCCCCATGTTAGATATTAGAATATTTTAATATTAGAAAAGCTTCGTCATACCTGCAACTTTTTGAAAATAAACTATAGTTAGACATCAATACTAAACTTCTAGCTCCTGAAAAACTAATCTCTTCAACAATATTACCACCTCGAAAAATCTTAAGTGCAACACTTCCCACTAGAACTACACCATTACCATCTTCTTCAATATTAAAAATATTAAAAAGGTCATTATTTACTTTATATTTTCACTTAAAGTAATTATTACTAATGAACAAGCCTTAGAACTTTCATTATGGATTGACAGAAATGGAACTGCTTATACTGAAAATAATCCATATGAATTTAAATTGTTTATTAGAAGAAGTAGAGATGGGTTTCATATTAAAACTATTTATAAAATTTGTGATGAAGTATCCAAAACGATTATTGTTGCAAAAGTGGATGGTATTGGAGAAATTATTGGTGGTTATAATCCTCCTGAGATTCGTAATAGTGAAAACAACTGGTACCATAGTCAAAATAGTTTTTCACTTTCATTGAAAACTAACAAATTTAGAAAATTCTATTATACTGTAAGTAGGGTGACGCTAGCTATTATAATCTTGATCAAAAAATTCATGGATCCAATTTGGAAATGCATTAAATTTAGTTGGTAATTTAAATTTAGTTGGTAATTTAAACTGAGAATTTATCAGTTGAGGAGTTTTGAAGCTTTCAAAGCTTCGCAAAAGAAATAATTCAAGAATTATCGGTTATAATTTTGTTTTATATGAATTTAACATTATTTAATTTATTCTGTTGACAATTAATTATTATTTTACGAAAACAAATAGAAAGAAATTATTTAAAATATTCCTTATCTTGTATCGTGTAAATTAATTGAAGAGAAATATCTTTCGACATTAACAAAAAAATGATATGATTAAATATTTTTCATTTGTTTCATAGAAAGTACGAAATGAAAATAGGGGAATAAATTTTGCTAGCTTAATTGAAAAGAAAATTAATACATTTAAATTGTAATAATTAATCAAAATGCTTTACAAATACATAGGAAATAACAAATCCTTAATTTCTAAAGTTCAGGAATTTAGTTAGATTTTATTTTTTTTTCTATTCTCGAAAATTAATCCAGTATCTGGTGGCATAGCAATAGTTCCATAATGTATCTTCTTTTCAATCTTTCCACTTGGTGTCTTAATGTGGTAATTTAAGATTAATTTATGCATACAAGTTTTAATTTCATTTACAGCAAAAAATCTGTTTAAATAAATAAATTTATAAATAAATAATTATTAAAAATTATGAAAAATTATTATAAAATATTAATAAACCAATCAATTATAAAATATCAACCTTCCAGGGCAAGCACGTTTTCCGGAACCAAATGTAAAATAATTTTTATCAGTTTTTGATGCAGCAAAATTATTTTCCAAACCATGATAAGGATAGAAAGACTTTGGTTCTGGTCCATATGCTGTGGTATTGTAATGAATATCCGCTAAATAAGTTTGAACAATACGACCTGTCAGATCCAATTTTTTTTTAACAAAAAAAAAAAAAATATTAATATTTTCAATTTATTAAATGGAAAAAAAATTTTTCTAAAATTGAATGGTACCTTTTGGAATTGTCGTGCCATTTTTGAATGTATATGATTCATCCAAACATCTGTGGGGAATGGCAACTATTATTATTAAAAAATTATTCTCATTATTATTCTTTAGTGATTTCATATTAAAAAAATATAAAAATATAAGATTTACATACCCACAGTGCCAAAATTCCTAAAAGATTCTCTCAGAAAACTATCCAATTTCATCATTTTATCGATATGTTGCGGTGATAATTCTCCATTACATTCTTTATCAATTCTTACTTGTTCTTCGTAAATATCCTCCCATAATTCCGGTCTTCCCGCAAAATCTATTATAAAGCATAAAATAATATTAATTATGAAATGAGAGAGAATTATATAAAATTGATTATAATTATGATTATAATTTAACGAATATAATAATTTCTTACCATAAAGAGCAGAAGTGAGATGACGAGAAGTAGTGTGAATAGAAGTAACGATAATGATAAATAAAAATTCACAGATTTCATTCAAGTAATCATCAGTAACAACTTTCGTTTCGTATTCGGGATTATTCAATAAATATTCGATTATATCCAGCTATTATTATTAAAATATAATTAATTTCTTTAATAATTTTGAAGTTTACGTTAAATTTTTTTTAATACTCACAGGTGGCTCATATTTATCACCAAGAATTTCTTTATCTTTCAATCTTTTCTCTAATACAGGTTTCAAATGTTTCTTTAAAGTAATCACATGTTTCCCAATCGGATTCCATCCAAATCTAAGTGGTAAAGTGATAACTTGGGTATGGAGTTTTGGATGAATGAATGAAAAAATGGGAGGGATTGCGAGAATTGATCCAAAATCTTTGGTAAAATCAGCAAAAGCCTTGATCACGTCTTCTTTTTTTGATATTTCCTTTAATATAATTTAAAGATATTTATTCCATTTTTATAATTTACAATATATCATATCCGATTCTTTACATAGGGAATTTCAAAATTTTCACGAATTTCATGATTCCCACCCTTCTCAACATTCCGAACACTCTGAACATTGAAATATTCTGATTACCTGTCCTAAAATATCAGCTACTGGACGGGCGATCATGCTTGAGAAATTACCATTCGCTGTGATAATTAATTTAGGGTCTATGCGAATAATATAAATAATCATTATTCTTTTTTGTTACTATTATTTCAAAAAACAAAGAGAATAAAAGCGACTTACTAGAACAATCTCCAATTTCCTTATTAATAGAAATCATAAGTTGTTTTTGCATTCTTCCAGTGTATAAAGGTAATTTTGCAGTAATTCCTTCGCGTATTGTCTTAACTACTCGTTCCATCGTTTCAGGATTATCAAAACTTTTTAAAACACGATACAAAGGAAATGTCTAAGGACAATGTATGATATGTATATTAATACAGTATAATAAGTATTACACCTGCATCTAAATAAATATGGTATTTGATATTTGAAATAATCGATTGGTAATTGTGAATTTATTTACATCTCGCGTAGCACTAAGCAAATTAAAAGTATCATCGTGCTTATAAACTTCATGAGCAGCTTCGTTTCCTGCTATAGTAGTCACCTGACCAAATATATATACATTGAAAGGATCACCGTACTATACACGCAAATTTTTTGTTAGTTTATTATTATTAAGAAAGAATGAATTATTGCTATGATGATTTACTTTTTGTCTACATTCGATCAAAAAATTTTCGGCATCAATTAAATAATTTAATGTATGGCCAATTATTGGAATTTTATAAGGAACCATTGGAGGTTCATTCTGAAGAAAACAAAAAGTAAAAATTAAATTAATAAAATTAAATATTATATAAAAAAAAATCAAAAAAATTACTTACTTTACTTAATCTTGGATTCTTAATCCAATAAATAAAATAGATAGCTATTAATACCCACACAAAGGTTGGAACTGTTTCAAAAGAGAAATCCATTTTAAAAAATACCACGACAATTCTATTTTTCGCTCATAAAAATAATTTTCTGAATGCAGATCATTTATTATTATTAATACGATTTCCAGACTGAATTAAGAAGTTGATTTGTTATAAACTATTACCTCTTTTTCTTAAACGATATAATATTATCTGTGATATAAATAGATATGGGAATTATGTAATTTTAAATCGAAACAATTAGTTGTCCTATTACACAACATATCGATCATTTACGCCTCGTATTACAAAATAACTAATATGTGCTGTGCCAAAATGTTAATAGTAAGAAATCATAAGTTGTTTTTGTATTCTTTCAGTGTATAAAGATAATTTTGCAGTTATTCCTTCACGTATTTTTTGGCTACTTGTTCCATCGTTTCAGGATCATCAAGACTTTTTAAAACACGATACAAAAGAAATATAATAAATGCAATACAATAAATACAATATAATAAATACAATACAATCTAATAAGTATAACATCTAAAATAAATACAGCATTTGATATTTGAAATGAGTGATTGATTAATTGTAAATTTATTACATCTCGTGTAGCGCTGGACATACTAAAAGCACCGACCTAAAAACTTCATGAACAATTTCGTTCTGGATATAGTAGTCACCTGACCAAATACGTACAATATTGAAAGGATCACAATTTTTTTATTAATTTATTGTTTTTTGTTTTTCTTTAATCGTGATTATTAGGAATGATTATTACTTTTTGTCTACATTCGGTAAAAAAAATTTCGGCATTAAATATGATATTTAGATGTAAAATTACGGAGTTTTAATTTGTTCGTTTCTCAAAACATTTTGGGTTTCTTGGTCGTGAGCATGTAATTGGGTTTATTTTTATTTTATTTTTTTTAAATCCAACGGAGTCTTGCCTCAATCAACTTTTATTAATATATTAGATGTAAATTTTTAAAGATAATGTAATTGGGTTTATAGGTAATAAATGAATATTAATTTTACAACTATATTTTCTAAGTTAGTTTGTGTAAATACTGTGCCGCAAACGATCTCTTGATCTAGGAAGATTTCATTACGACAAGGACTACTTTCCGCTTGTTAAAGTTTTTCTGTCAAAACGCAGGATCGTGTAAATACTACACCGCAAACGATCCGCACATTTCGTTTCGTTACGCAAATTTCTGTTTTTAGTAAATCCTTTGATTTCATTACGCCAAGGACTACTTTCCGCTTGCTAAAGTTACTTTCAGGTTACTTTGTCAAGAAGTTAGTGCAACGATCTGTACGTTTCGATTAGTTACGGCAATTTCTGATTTTCGCATATACTGTATTATACGTGAAGAAACGCACATGAAAAATACGCAAGACATGACAAATACGATCACGCTGACCAAGATTTTGCGGACGAACGACATTTCTCCCGTCTATGGTTCATACACTTCGTGATTTCATCACTCCGTTCCTGGTATTACCGTATATTAAAAATTTCAGATGAAATTTTACTATATATAGGAAATCAGCGTTTTGGTTTCTGTCTACTTGAGTGGCGGATCAGTTCAATAATAATAAATAATAATATAATTTAAGGCTAATATTTTCGTTAGAAAAATTAGAAATTCGATTATTTTTGATCTTTTGACTTCTTCCCATGAATTTGATCTTGATGAATTAGTTGAGCATCCAAACTCGCCTTGCAACTACCAGCAATGCTTCATAAATTTTGCTCAAGTTTATCAAAAATGCTTTCAAAAGATATGATTCACAAATTTTGTAATTATATAATTGCTAAGCATCCTAATATTATTTTTGAATCAAAAAAATTTATTTCTCTTCCCGAAGATGCATTAATTTCTATTATTAAACTAGATGATTTACAATTAGATGAAGACAAAATTTGGGATTACGTAATTCAATGGGGAAGTTCCAAGAATCCAACATTGCTAGCTAACCTTAATGAATGGCCTGTGATAATTTATAACTTTAAAAACGATTTCGAAAATTGTCTCCTCATGTTAGGTATTAATATTTCAAGTGAACAAGCATTAGAAAAGCTTTAGACATGCTAAAACTTCTTGAACCTAAACTATGGTTAATCCCGAAAAACCAATCTCTTCAACAATATTACCACCTCAAAAATCTTAAGTGCACCAATCCCTTCTAATATTATTACTGATGAACATGCTCTTTATGGATTAATATGATTATACTGAAAATAATTTAAATTGCTTGTTAGAGGAAGTAGAAATGGGTTTTAAAACTATTTATAATATCTGTGATAAAGTATCTAATACAAAAGTGGAAGGTACAGGGAAAATATCGATGTTTATAATCCTCTTGAGATACATAATAATGAAACCAAATGGTATTCTAGTCAAGATAGTTTTCATTGAAAACTAAAAATATTAAAGATTTCATTATAAAAAGGTTAACAAACTTTGATTCTGCTATTCTTTAGTTAAAACAATTCGTGGTTACAATTTGGCAATGGATTTGGCAATTTAAAAACTGAGAAGGAAAGCAGTTATTGAACATCTACTTTTGAAATTCAATTAAATCTAATACAAGTTGTTTTTCAATTGAGGAATCCGAAGTTTTCATCTAAGGTATAATTCAAGCATTGCAGTTTATGCTTTCGTTCTGTATAAATTTACCATTATTTATTTTATTCTGCTGAAATAACAAAAAGCTATTAATTGAAATATTTATTAATTTATATCATGAAAACTTTATATTTTCTTTTTCTTCCGAATTTTAAGACATTAACAAGAACAGCAATATGATTTGATATTTTTTATTTGCTTTGTAGAAAGCAAGAATCATAAGTAATTAATGAAAATAATGTAGCTAGCTAGATTGAAAAAAATTAACCTATTTTATTTTAAATTGTAATAATAAATTAAAATGCTTTACAAATTCGTAGAAAATAAAAATCGTAAATTTTTAAAAGTTTCAGAAAATTATATGAACGAAATTTTTTTTATCTATTTTTTTCTATTCTCAAAAATTAATCCAGCAACTGGCGGAAAAACTAAAGGTCCAACATATACCTTTTTTTCAATCTTTCCACTTGGTGTCTTAATGTGATAATTTAAAATTAATTTATGCAAACTAACTTTAATTTCATTTACAGCAAAAAATCTGTTTAAAAAAATGAATTAATTTTGATAAATAATTATTTATCAAAAATTGCGAAAATTATGAAATTTTATTATAAAATATTTATTGACCAAAATAATTTTAAAACACCAACCTTCCAGGGCAAGCATGTCTTCCTGAGCCAAATATAAAATAATTTTTATCAGTTTTTGTTGCAGAAAGATTATTTTCCAAACCATGATAAGGAAGGAATGACCTTGGTTCTGGTCATATGCTGTGATGTTGTAATGAATATCCATTGAATAAATTTGTACTATACGATCTGACAGTCCAGATATTTATTTTTTTTAAAAAAAATTATTAATATTTTCAATGTTATCGAATGGAAAAGATTATTAAAATAAATAATAAAGAAATTTTCTAAAATGGAGCTGTACCTTTTGGAATTGTCATACCATTTTTTAATGTATATGATTCCAAACATTTGTGAGGAAGATTAACTATTTTTTAAATAAATTATTCATTATTATTCTTGAGTTCTATATAATATATATATATATATAAATATATTATAAAATTTACATGCCCACAGTATCAATAGTCCTTAAAGATTCTCTCAGAAAACTATCCAATTTCACCATTTTGTTAATATGTTGAGATGATAATTCTCCATTGCATTCTTTATCAATTCTTACTTGTTCTTCATAAATATCATCCCATAATTCAGGTCTTCCGGCAAAATCTATTATAAAACATAAAAATAATATCAATAATAAATGAGAGAGAATTATATAAAATGATTATTCAGTAAATTAATGGACATAAAATATCTTTTTTTTTACCATAAAGGGCACTAGTAAGATGACGAGAAGTGGTATGAATAGAGACAACGATAATAATAAATAAAAAGTCACAGATTTTATTCAAGTAATCATCAGTAATAACTTTTGTTTCGTATTCGGGATTTTTCAATAAATATTCAATTATATCCAGCTATTGTTATTAAAATATAATTAATTTCTTTAATAATTTTGAAGTTTACGTTAAATTTTTTTTAATACTCACAGGTGGTTCATATTTATCATCAAGAATTTCTTTATCTTTCAATCTTTTCTCTAATACAGGTCTCAAATGTTTCTTTAAAGTGATCACATGTTTCCCAATTGGATTCAGTCCAAATCTAAGTGGTAAAGTGATAACTTGAGAATGGAGGTTTGGATGAATGAATGAAAGAATAGGAGGTATTGCAAGAATTGATCCAAAATCTTTGGTAAAATCAGCAAAAGCTTTGACCACGTCTTCATTTTTTGATATTTCCTTTAATATAATTTAAAGATATTAATATATTATTCCATATTTATAATTCACAATTTGTCATACCTGTCCAACTAAAATATCAGCTACTGGACGGGCAATTATGCTTGAGAAATCTTTATTCGCCGTGATAAAAAATTTAGGGTCTATTCGAATAAAATAAATAATAATTACTCTTTTTTGCTTACTATTATTTCAAAAAATAAAGAGAATAAAAGTGACTTACTAGAACAATCTCCGATTTCCTTATTAATAGAAATCATAAGTTGTTTTTGCATTCTTCCAGTGTATAAAGGTAATTTTGCAGTAATTCCTTCACGTATTGTTTTCACTACTCGTTTTATCGTTTCAGGTTCATCAAAACTTTTTAAAACACGATGCAAAGGAAATGTCTAAGAACAATGTATAATATATAAATACAATATAATAAATATACATTTAAAATAAATATAGTATTTGATATGAAATAAATTGATTAGTAGTAAGTTTATTTACATCTCGCGTAGCACTGGACAAACTAAAAACATCGGTCCTAAAAACTTCATGAGCGATTTCGTTTCCGGCGATAGTCATCACCTGACTAAAGACATAAATATTGAAAGGATCACCATACTATGAAATTTTTTGTTAATGTTAACTTATATCTTTTTTGTTTTTTAAATCGTGATTATTAGAAATGAATTATTATTACGATGATTTACTTTTTGCCGACATTCGGCCATAAAATTTTTGGCATTAAATAAATAATTTAATGTGTGGCCAATTATTGGAATTTTATATGGAACCATTGGAGGTTCATTCTGAAGAAGAAAAAGGAAGAAATTTGTTAAAATATAAAATAAGTCACACATCTTAAGATTCGAAAGGTGATTTCGCAATCAAATAAGATACAAGCAAAAAATATTTTTTGTCTGTTTTAAATCTTGATCTTTGACATTAAATCGCAAGATCACAAAATCCAGCTATCTTATTTATGGTGTTGAATGCCATTGGTGTGATTTAATAATGTCGTTAAATATTATGTGAAAAAAAATAAAATAAAAATTCTTACTTTACTTAATCTTGAATTCTTAATCCAATAAATAGCATAGGTAGTTATTAATGCCCACACAAAGGCTGGAATTGTTTCAAAAGAGAAATGCATTTTAAAAATAACATGAAAATTCCAATTTTTCGCTTATATAAATAATTTTCTGGATGCAGATCATTTATTTATTAAAGTATTCTAATTTTTCAACTTTTTTTGTTAATTATTGAAATTGACCAAAAATATCGATCCTTGGTAATTACTATAGATGCTGTCGAAATTATCGCCTTTATTATTATTTATTATTATTTTTATTAGTTTTATTTTTATTATATTACTATTATATTAATATTGTTTAAACGAAACTAATTAAGTTTACAAAGTGATTTCATATAAAGCTTCAAAATAAATTTATGTTTCCTTCTCCCTAACTGTATTATCATTTATATTGAGCTCTTGAATTTCACTTAAAATATATATATTTGATTCACGTCTATAATTTTTACGGTTATACGGAATATAAAATATTTACGGATTTACGGCTTTGCGGCTTTACGGATTTACGGCTTTGCGGCTTTACGGCTTTACGGGATTACGGTTTTCAAAGGCTCGAGCCATCAAAATTATTTGACCATTCTAAGATCGACACTTTTTAATTGCTATTTGTATGGAACGAATATATGAAATTATTACGACTGTGCAATTTAGTAAATACATATTAATATTTAATATAGAAATTCAGTACGATTATCAAATAGTGTGTGCTACGTATAATAAGCAATCCTAACGTGACAATACCCTAAACCAATTCTAACCTCTAATCCATAATCCTAAATTTTATTATAAACGCGTCTTTAATAAAATAATATAATTACAATATACAAAGATTAGGAAAACGGAACCATTGCCATATGTTATTTTATCTATTTGTCATGTGTTCTTTATCGTTAAAAATTGGACAAATACCCAAGTTACGTTTTTGCTATTTTTCTTAATGAAGCATCAAAAAGGTAACTTTGGAATCGCTTTAACTCGTCCATAAAGTGTCTTCTGCTACGCTCCGGACAAATAATTCCAATTTATCCCATTGTACTATACTAAAATTTGTAATTCATGTATGAAACATTGTTTTAAGAGAGGATACTTGATATTAATTGATAATGGCTATATCTCACATTATCTAAAGGCTATTTCTTACTTAACATTATATTTGCCATTTGTTCGTTTGTCAATTTTTCTAGTTCATTCTTAATGTATAAACTATGTGATATATAAATAAAAATTGATGCATTTATTGTAATCCGTTTATTTTATCACAAAATAATAATAATAAAATGACAATAAAATTTTATGGCCGTTTATCAAACGACCTTACTCAACTTATTAACTTATTGAAAATCCTATTGACTATAATGTCATAATTGAAGTTATTGAAGCACCAATTAACCAAATTATTGAAGTTTATTCTTACGTTTTACAATCTCATTGTCCTTATTTTAAAAAGAAATTCAACGAAACTCTGTTCAACAAAAATAATGTCAAAGTATCAAAGATGCCTAATATTGCTGTTAAAGTATTTAATGTCATTATCAAGTAAGCATTATTCTATAGATTTATTATAGTTTAAATAAAAAAAAAGGTTTAATAATTATTTAATAATACGAGTATTATAACAATATATTTATAAATTATGTGCATTTATGTGGAACAATTTCGTTAGAAAAATTGGAAAATTCAATTATTTTTGACCTTGATCTTGGTGAATTAGTTGATCATCTCCAAAAATTCACCTTGTTACCAACAATGCTTCATGGTTAAAGCTAAATTTCGCTCAAGTTTATCAAAAAAGTTATCAATTGAAAAATTTGGATATAATTCAAAAATTTTGTAATAATATCATTGCCAAGAATCCTAATGTCATTTTTGAGTCGGAAAATTTTATTTCTCTTCCCGAAGATGCATTAATTTCTATTATTAAACTAGATGATTTACAATTAGATGAAGACAAAATTTGGGATTACGTAATTCAATGGGGAAGGTCCAAGAATCCAACTTTACCAGCTAACCTTGACGAATGGACGAGTGATAATTTCATAACTTTAAAAACAACTTTGAAAAATTGTCTTCCACATATTAGGTATTTTAATATTTCAGGTGAACGAGTATTAGAAAAGCTTTGCCACGCCTACAACTTGTTGAACCTAAACTATAGTTAGACATCGATACTAAATTTCTAGCTCCCGAAAAACCAATCTCTTCAACAATATTACCACCTCGAAAAATCTTAAGTTCAACACTTCCCACCAATTCCTTCTTATATTATTATTGACAACATGCCTTAGAACTTTCATCATAGATTAAAAGAAAAAAAACTGCTTATACTGAAAATAAACCTAGTGAATTTAAATTACTTGTTAGAGGAAGTAGAGATGGGTTTGGGTTTGATGTTAAAACTATTTAAAATATTTGTGATAAAGTATCTAATACAGTTATTGTTTTAAAAGTGGAAGATACAGGGGAAATTATTGGTGGTTATAATCCTCTTAAGATACGTAATAACGAACAAGGATGGTATTCTAGTCAAGGTAGTTTTGTGTTTTCATTGAAAACTGAAAATCTAAAAATTTCATTGTAAGTAGGGTGAAAAACTTTGGTTCTGCTATTCACTATGCGCCAAACGTTTCATTGTTGCAATTTGGCCGTGCATTAAGATTATTGGATAATTTAAAAACTGGGAAGAAAAACTATTGTGGTACGTTTGATTATGAAAAATCAATTCATCTAATACAAATTATTTCTTAGTTGAAGAATTTGAAGTTTTCAACGTTTCACCAAAGAAATAATTCAAGAATTATAGTATAAATCTAGCATTATTTATTATTATTTATCTAGCATTATTTATTATTATTTTATGAAATAAATAAAAAGTTATTATTTAAAATGTTCATTATTTGCATCATGTAAATTAATTGGAGAGAATTATCTTTCGTCTTTGTATTTCCTTTTTTTTTTTTTTGTAAATTTAAGACATTTAACAAGGACAACAATTCTACATCAATTAATGAGACAACTAAAACAAAAAAATTTAGCATTAAGATTTTTTTCTACTTCTAATCATGTACGTTTTTATATTATTGATAATATTTTTGATTAAAAAAAATTATTAATAAGTTTTATTTTAGGTTAGATTATTTTTTGGTGATACACTATGGGTGGAGGTATTGAAAAAAAATCTGTTGTGTATAATATTATGTCTTTCGAAAATAGACAATTGTTTTACTTAATTAACAAAACTCCCGACGAAATTAAAGCTAGAAATATAAATTCTAATGATAAAAAAAAAATAAATAATTGTAATCTTTAATCTTTTAATAAAAATTTTTATTTTTTGTAAAATGGTATACAAATATTTAATGTAAAAAAATCAAAACTTTATTTATATACATAAAAAAATTCAAAAAATACATGAATAAATAATTTTTCATCAAGTATTCTTTTTGTTTTGTAACTTTTATACATTTTGATTTAACATTAATTGTTGAAGGGGAGAGCGTGGTAATATTAATTTATACTGTGATGAATTTTTATTTGTTTTTTTTTCTGTAATATAATAATCTTGATTCCTAATAAAAAAAATTATTAACTTTAAAATAATTTTTTTAATAATTTAAATAAAAAAAAAAAATAATTACTCTTACTAATTAATAAATTCACCCGAGTCAGTTATAAACCACACGACATTGAAAAGTTCGATTATTTTCTATTAATTCAGTTCGTGTCCAAACAAAAGAAATCTCGTAATTTCTTCAGAATTTGCAAGAAGCACATATCCAGTTGTTTATGTTTTTGGATCCTGTTGACTGCTCCAATATTTATAATTTAAAATTTGTTTTAATCTACTTTCCCCTCCTTGACCTTTGAAAGTACAGTAATACTTTCTTAATGCTGAGTTGTGTCGAAATGAAAAAGATCTTAAAGAATCTATTGAACTTAATTAAAACATAGATACAAGTGAATATCAATTAAATTTCTATTTTATTCATTAATTAATTATGTTAATTTTATTTATTTCTACATTTTTATGAATTCTAAATATTAATATTTTATGAATATTTTCATATTTTGCATTCTATTATTTTTATATATCCATATAATCCGTGACCAAAAATTTATTGTAACTTTTTATAAATTTATTCTTAGTTGAGATTTTTTTTATCATAATATTTAAGTTCTTATTTAAAGAAATAATCTAATACATTTACATATCTATCATATCAATTTATGATCAGATATATATCATAGAATAATGTATGAGAAAAAAGTTAAAATAACAGATACTGTAAATAATATTAAAACTTTGAAAATAGTTTCATTAAATTTACATTTAAAAATATATATATATATTATTTTTCTTTTCCCTCGATAATTTAAAAGCCAAAGAATTATTTATTACTTATTAATAACAATAAATAAATATAGAATCTAATTTGATTGCAAAATATTTAATGTTATCTTTTAACAAAATTTATTAATTAAGATAAAGATTATCTATTGCATATTGAAATTTTAAATTAGATATATCGTGTCATAAGAAAGTAATAAAAAAAAAATAAATTTAGGGTATTTTTATTGTAAACATTGTAATTAATCTATTTTATATCAGATTGTAATTATTAATTAAAATGCTTTACAAATTCATAGAAAAAATTCTCAGGAAGTTTAATTAAATGAATTGAAATTCTTTAATCTATTTTTTTCTATTCTCAAAAATTAATCCAGAAACTGGCGGAAAAGCAAAAGGTCCAACCCGTACCTTTTCTTCAATTTTTCCGCTTGGTGTCTTAATGTGATAATTTAAAATTAATTTATGCATACCAACTTTAATTTCATTTACAGCAAAAAATCTGTTTAAAAAAAAAATGAATTTAGTTTTAATTAAATAAATATTTATCAAAAATTGTAAAAAAATCATTTATTAACCTTCCAGGGCAAGCATGTCTTCCTGAGCCAAATATAAAATAATTTTTGTCAGTTTTTGATGCAGGAATATTATTTTCCAAACCATGGTAAGGAAGGAATGACCTTGGTTCTGGTCCATATGCTGTGGTATTGTAATGTATATCCATTAAATAAGTTTGAACTATGCGACCTGACAGTTATGATATTTATTTTTTAAAAAAATTATTATTAATATTTTCAATGTTATTAAATGAAAAGATTATTAAAAATTAATAATAAAGAAATATTCTAAAATGGAATTGTACCTTTTGGAATTTGCATGCCATTTTTTAATGTATATGATTCCAGACATCTGTGAGGAACTGTGGCTATTTTTTAAAAAGTTACTGTATTCTCATTACTATTCTTTATTAATTATATATATATATAAATATAAAATTTACATACCCACAGTATCAAAAGTCCTTAAAGATTCTCTCAGAAAACTATCCAATTTCACCATTTTGTTAATATGTTGAGATGATAATTCTCCATTACATTCTTTATCAATTTTTACTTGTTCTTCATAAATATCATCCCATAATTCTGGTCTTCCTGCAAAATCTATTATAAACATAAAAAATATTTTTAATTATAAAATTAGAGAGAATTATATAAATTGATTATAAATTAATGGACATAAAATATCTTTTTTTTTTTACCATAAAGAGCACAAGTAAGATGACGAGAAGTGGTATGAATAGAGGCAACAATAATAGAAAATAAAAATTCGCAGATTATGTTCAAGTAATCATCAGCAATAACTTTTGTTTCGTATTCGGGATTATTCAATAAATATTCAATTATATCCAACTATTGTTATTAAAATAGAATTTAATATAATATTGTTGAAATTTACATTAAATTTATTTTAATACTCACAGGTGGCTCATATTTATCACCAAGAATTTCTTTATCTTTCAATCTTTTCTCTAATACAGGTCTCAAATTTTTCTTTAAAGTATTCAGATGTTTCCCAATTGGATTCCATCCAAATCTAAGTGGTAAAGTGATGACTTGAGTATGGAGTTTTGGATGAATGAATGAAAGAATAGGAGGTATTGCGAGAATTGATGTAAAATCTTTGGTAAAATCAGCAAAAGCTTTGACCACGTCTTCATTTTTTGATATTTCCTTTAATATAATTTAAAGATATTAATATATTATTCCATATTTATAATTCACAATTTATCATACCTGTCCAACTAAAATATCAGCTACTGGACGGGCGATCATGCTTGAGAAGTTTTCTTTCGCTGTGATAACAAATTTAGGGTCTAAACAAATAAAAATAAATAATAATTTTTATTCTTGTTACTATTATTTCAAAAACCAAAGAGAATAAAAGCGACTTACTAGAACAATCTCCAATTTCCTTATTAATAGAAATCATAAGTTGTTTTTGCATTCTTCCAGTGTATAAAGGTAATTTTGCAGTGATTCCTTCACGTATTGTTTTCACTACTCGTTCCACCGTTTCAGGATCATCAAAACTTTTTAAAACACGATACAAAGGAAATGTCTACGAACAATGTATAATACATAATACAATATAATAAATATTCATCTAAGATAAATATAGTATTTGATATGAAATAATTGATTGATTAGTAGTAAGTTTATGTACATCTCGCGAAGCGCTGGACAAACTAAAAACATCGGTCCTAAAAACTTCATGGGCAATTTCGTTTCCGGCTATAGTCATCACCTGACCAAATACAAATATATTGAAAGGATCACCGTACTATGAATGCAGTGCAAATTTTTTTTTGTTAATTATTGTTTCTTGTTTTTCTAATCGTGATTATTAGGAATGAATTATTACTTTTTGTCTGCATTCGGCAAAAAAATTTTCAGCATTAAATAAATAATCTAATGTATGGCCAATTATTGGAAATTTATAAGGAACCATTGGAGGTTCATTCTGAAGAAAATAAAGAAAAAAATAATTAAAAAAAAATTAAATATTATATAATAAAAAATCAAAAAAATTACTTACTTTACTTAATCTTGGATTCTTAATCCAATGAATAAAATAGATAGTTATGAGTACCCACACAAAGGCTGGAATCGTTTCAAAAAATAAATACATTTTAAAAAATACCACGAAAATTCTAATTTTTTCGCTCATAAATAATTTTCTGAGTGCAGATCATTTATTTATGTAAATTTTAACCGACAAATCGGTTGTATGTTATGTAATATTGGTCATAAATTACTCAAAATTACATAACACAACCACAATCTAATTTTTTTTTTATCTTTTTTGTTTAAATTGACCATAAATGGCAAGTCCGATCTTTGCATTAAATTAATTGGTGATCTGTCAAAGATCTGCGCAATTACAATTTTAGTAAAGTACGAATGAAATTAACTATTATCGTAATTTCATAGTTAGCACTTTAAATAAATGTCACGCGATATACTAAAAATATCTGAAAAAAGAATTTACTATGTACGTGCGTCAGATTCATGTTTCAAATATAATAGTATTTTATCACTTTACTTTACACTATTATATTATTTACATAAAAAACAAATATAAATTGACCCTTTTAATTATTTCGAAGATTCTTATGTTTCAAATTATACTTCAATTGCTTAAAAAAGAAGTAATCCAATTTGCAATATTATATTCCTGTGATAGATCTTTCCTCTTCTGTTTCGTCTTCTGTTTCGTCTTCTTGTACCCGTTGCATTAGTTCACTTTGTATCTCTGCAGCTGTCATTTTCTTTCGTGAGTTGGTAGTTACTGTTATGAAACAATGAGAGGATACTAGATATTAATTGATCACGTGATATTATTATCCAATTAGATTTTGCCATTTGTTCGCTTGACAATTTCCTAATTTTATAAACTGTGATACAAAAAAAAATTGATGCATTTATGAAGTTCCGTTTATTTTTATTCACAAAATAATAATAATAATAATAATAACAATAATAATAAAATGTCAACAAATTTTTATGACCGTTTATCAAACGACCTTACTCAACTTCTTGAAAATCCTATTGATTATAATGTTACAATTGAAGTTGGTGAAGCATCAATTAATCAAATTTTTGAAGTTCATTCTTACATTTTGCAATCTCGTTGTTCTTATTTTAAAAAGAAATTAAATGAAACTCCGTTCAACGAAAATAATGTCAAAGTATTAAAAATGTCTAATATTTCTGTTAAAGTATTTAATGTCATTATCAAGTAAGCATTATTCTATAAATTTATTATAATTTTAATAAAAAAAAAAAGGTTTAATAATTATTTAATAATGATAACAATATAATTTTATAAATTAGGTACATTTATGGTGGAACAATTTCGTTAGAAAAATTGGAAAATTCAATTATCTATGACCTCTTGATTTCTTCCCATGAACTTGATCTTGATGAATTAGTTGAGTATCTCCAAACTCACCTTGTTACCAACAATAATTCATGGTTAAAGCTAAATTTCGCTCAAGTTTATCAAAAAAGTTATCAAGCGAAAAATTTGGATATAATTCAAAAATTTTGTAATAATATCATTGCCAAGCATCCTAATGTTATTTTTGAGTCGGAAAATTTTATTTCTCTTCCCGAAGATGCATTAATTTCTATCATTAAACTAGATGATTTACAATTAGATGAAGACAAAATTTGGGATTACGTAATTCAATGGGGAAGGTCCAAGAATCC